CTGACAAAAATCTTCCAAGAATGTATCCCCTGGCATTTTTCCTTTCTGAGAGAACTCTCAAGTAAGATATAAAGCAGTAGAATGGGGAAAAGATGGAATTTCTAAAATATACTGGTGTGGCAAGACCTAAACTATCTGGGGAGGTAAAAATCTAATATAGAAAGTGGAATTCATCGTACTTCTCATGGTGTCAGATATGAGGAAACATTCAATGGAAGGAGAAGTGTTAGAAGCTTTGGGATGGGCTTAATGCTGGACTCCCAAGATCGGTGTCTGGATCCCCAGAACCCATGTCTCTTCCCTTCCATGGTGAAGGAACTTTGCATGTGAATGCTTTTAGGGGCTTTGATATGAAGAGGGTATTAAGGATCACCCAGAGGACCTCATGTGATCACAGTGGTCCTTACAAGAGGGAGGGGGGAGAGTAGGGAAACAACAGGTGGTGGGAAAACTGAGCAGAGGGGGGGTTGGTAGGCTTTGAAAGATGGAGGAAGGGATCATCAGTCAAGAGGACCTGGAAGCCACTGGGAGCAGCTGAGAAAGGGTAAGATAAGGAAACAAACTCTCCTCCCAGAGTCTCCAGAAGGACCAGCCCTGCTGAAGTCTCAACTCTGGGTCATGGAAACCAGAGCTGGACCTCTTACCTTCATAACTAAAAGAGACTAAATAAATATGTGTTATCGTAAGCCACTGTTTGTGACAATTTGTTACAGCAGCAATAGGAAACTAATACGAACTCTGTCTTCTCAGTTTAACTGATATTAAAAGCATTTTGGAAATGCTCAAAATTTAAGCATATGTAGTAATGACCTTGGGTTGAGATTTATCAGACAATTTTTGAAAGTTAAAGGAAGTATTTTTTTAAAATCAAAGCACTTCTTACTGATTTATTTATGACTTTAAAATAATTTGAGGAGTACACTATTTTTACTCTACTAGTTCAGTAAATGTAAAAATTTTTACATCAAGTATAATTGACTTTTTTGTATCTTCTTTATTAGGCTTTTTGAAATACTTGATTTAACTGTTTAAGTACATCGTGTCAGTGCTTTCTGGATATTGACAGGAATACAGAGATGCTGAACAACAATTAATTGTAATTTTCCTTTTTTTTTTAAGTACACTATGTCATGTCATAATTTAGTCTTTGATATCCTTTAAAAATGATTTAAAATCCTTTCAAGATTTCTGAAATATCTAATTCATTATGAAGAGTTCTAAATATTAAGTAGAAAAGTCCTACCATTTCCCCCATTTTTTAAACTTTAAGAATTTTTTGAAGATTTTTGACACTTGAACATACTATTTAAAATATCTTTCTTTCCATGTGACATCCTCACACAAAGTATTTAAAGAAGATGCAGGTCTGTCATTGCTCTGTTTAATTAACAGAGACTTTTAGAATGAGAAGTTCTTTTAAAAAAAGAACTTATAAGAAAACTTTATTGTGATAATAATAATCATCTCGTATCACATCAGAATTTCAACTAGTAAAAATTCTATTTCCAGGTGTCATCTGCTAGAACTAGTCAATCTTGTTTTATATTGTGAGCTTTTCTTTCCCCAATTACTCATACAAATCAGATGGTGGAGTACACAAGCATGCTGAGAAGCTAAGATTTGCTTCTGACTTGGCAATGATGTAACAATTTTCCTTCTCTATCATTTATGCCTGTAGAAGCTTTTAGTGCTTTTGTTTTGCATCTAAATTGTTTAAAGTCACCTTGTTTTTTTAGTTCAGGAAGGCAATGCATATCTTTTTCATAGTCTACCTTCTAGAAGATTAATCCTTGCTTTCTTGCCAGTGTTTCTAGTCAAACTGAAATCTACTTAATGTATATTTTAACAGCTTTTACAATTTATTTTGGATTACCCATTGACATTTATACCCTTGCAAATATAATTCACCTACAGTACAAATAAATTTTATGGCAATTAGGATACAATGTTTATCACCTACTTTTAAAATTTTTGAATTATTAGCTTTATAGTATCCTTCTACATTAAGACGATGGCATCTTTGTGAAAGGTTAGCAATTCTAGCATACTATGAATTCTAAACTGTGTTCAAATTATGTAATAAAATATTTTCTATGGATGTGTGCTATGGACAGTACAGGCATAGTTATTCTCAATGAAGATATTTTTCCCTAAAATTTTTACTAAGGAGCAAGGAGTTTAATAATTCAACTTTCTACAGTTTACAAAGTATCCCAATCATTAAAACTGGTAGCATAAATATCATATAACAGTTTCCGAGTACCTTAAGGTTTGTCTTTGAGATACTACCTAAGATTATTAAATCAGCATGAACTACATGGATAAATTTCTTAATAATTTGCCCATATTTTTAGATGTTTCATCAGATACAAGGTATAAGTTGCCTCTTTGACAAATTCTCATTATAAGAAATTAACTAAGAAATTATGATGACTAATCATCAAATTATGTGCTATGGTTCAATGACTTTTTTGTAACTAAATGGCAGTTTACAGAGCTAATATTACCATGCAATGCATATGAAGAAGCCAGTCATTAAAAACATGAGAAACATAAATATGAAAGCCTCCAACATGACCATATTAATAGAAATGCTGTCAGAGCTGGAAGGAACTTTAGGGATATTCAGTCCATCTTCAGTCTATGGCTAAGAAGTTGATCTGGTCTGTCTCAGCAAGCTATCGTGGCTGGGTCTACAGTCCAGAACCTGCGTCACCTAATTCCTAAGATAAGACTCTTTGTAGCACATGAAGAGCCAATTTCTCTCTCTACTTTCTATCCCCCACTCCCTATCTCCTCTCTCCCTCCCTCCCTGTCTTCTCCCCTCTTGCTCTCACACACACATATGCGATTTACCTTAATATAGTTATTGTAAAGCAATCTGAACAAGCACATTTTTATATAAATTTACATGTTGTACTGTGTACTTTCTTATCAGTCTTTTCTTTTGGCAGTAGAGCACAAAAATAAAGTACATTTTAAAAAACAGCACAGGGCCTGCTACATTATGGATTTTTAAAAAAATCTTTCTTTTATCCAGTTGACTGAATTAGATTCCAGTAAGTGTAGAAATATACTAAAATTACAGTGTTCTCAGAAATATGTCATGAAAATTCACTAAGCACAATATTAATTTAACTCCAAGACTAGAATATGTGTCTGCACTGACTTTATTTCCTACAAATAGAGACAGTCTCCAGTCTCACCTGCCTGTTTGCTTCCTTCATTGTATAACAGATGTACCAGAGTAATCCTGTGTTTCTAGATCATATTTTTCATGTTGAAATAATGCATATAATTATCTTCAGTGTACATATGCCAATATTTTCCAATAGTTAATAAACTCTAATAAACTATCCAAAGTAATTTGATGCTATACAAGATCTTGCAAAAAGTTAACCAAATTACAGTATATTTGTGGAGGAGGAAGTTACAACTCTTTATACTTGCAAATGTAACTTAGTTATATTTTGCCTTTTTATATTTCAAAAATAATATATGTAAGCTTATTTATCTAAAACATTCTAAGCACCTTATTAGCTGTAATATAATTTCCATCTTAAAATTAACAAATATGCCTCTGAGCAATAAAAAATGGTCAGTGATTTTTATAAAATAAAGTCACATTCACAGAGACATCCAGATCTCATATCCAGTAAAGATTTATCATAAAAAGAAATATTAGTTTATTATTTAATAATTAGAATAAATCTCAAGAAAAATATAAGCAAGTTATTCCTTTCTTTAACAATCTGAGGGGCTTAGACCTCATATATTTTTGTCAAAATAGTAATTAACCATAGATGCCAGATGCTGCTCTCTAGTCAATGGAGGGTCTCAGATTTTACTCTGCATCTCATTGGGAAGGAAATATAAATTTTTAAAATAGAATTAACTTGGGGAAAGGCATCAGTGCTGCAACTCTTAGCACCAAATGTTTTTTCTTGGAGCACCAAATGCTTTAAGGAAAACATTCCAAGTATCAAAGTTTTCAGATAGATAAATATTTATGGATCAAATCCATAAAGAACAGACATTGTTATGAAATATATATAGATGCCTTCAAAACTTTCTTTCTAGGCAGAGGAGACACATAAGTTAGAAGTCATTTCTCACTTAATTGTTTTTGCAACCTTATGCAACACAAAAGGATTATGGGTAAGACATTCATTTATGCACAAAGTGAATCTTGACTGACATCATGTCCAAAAATTAAACAGAAGCTATTTCTCTATATAAAACACAAAATGTCATTAAACTTATAGAAATAGCTTTGATCATGTTTCTTTTTTTTTTTTTTTTTTTTGGTGAAAAAGTATAGAGATTTTTTTATCTGATCCTTTGGTACAAAATTATTACTCCTTAAAACAAAGTTTTTCAATTGCTAGTTAATATAATCAGATAAAAGCATAACAGATCTAGTTCATATCTTAAAGGGCAATGAAATTCCATAGTCTTTGAACTTTATGAATGGTCTTTCTTCAGCCTCCGTGTAGACCACTGTCACTCCTTCTTCATTGAGAACTCTTCATAGTATTTGCATTATATTCTTCAAAAAGTCTTTTTTTCATTTAAAGGCAGAGGTCTGTATACATTGTTCATACAGCAAAATATAAGTATGCTATAGAATGCTAGAGAAATGTTAAGTAATTACCAAAGAAACATAGCCTTGGCTTCTGTAGTATTCTGATGCTCTTAAAATACCATAAGTGATTGTGCACTGATCAGAAATGAAGTACCAATTTAAGAAAGTAGCAAATAAGCCCTGTTCCAGATGCAAATATAGAACAAAGGGATATAAAACTCATTGCAGGAGGGTTAGGTAAACTATATCAGGCTCCAAGTTACACTTGTACACATAGATACCACCGGTGGTGGTACATGTGAACATGAAGGACATTTTGGAACTGAATACAATTCCATCCCTAAAACTAACAATTGCATATTCAACCAGAAAAGACATAAGTTGTATGTGGGCTTAAAGAAAATAGTACCACCAGCACAGGTAAAATTTTTATTTATGAATATGTGGACACATGACTTTGGATCCAGCCAGCCAGTGACATAAATAAACTTGAGCAAGAGTTTCAAGCTAAAGGATATACATATTTATATATTTGTGTGTGTGCGTAAAGCTTCTTGGAACAGTGCCACAAACCTGGACACCAACCAACAGAATCACTTCCATCCTTTGAAATTGCCATTAAGAGCACAATAGGGGTAATTACACCAGGATGCTCCAATCGCTCTTTCCATCTTGTGCACTCACATGCCCGCCAAACATGAAATGTTCGCCTTCTCCCTTCCAATGTGATGGTTGTTGAACTTATTTTTAGTGTCATTTGATAAGCCTTTGTGCTCGCAGAGAGACATCCCACTGACCCAGCCACTGGTCATTGTCTATACCAGTTCACATCAAAGCAGGCGCGCTTTGTCAGGTTTCGAGTCGAATATCCATTTCGCATCTGAAGTACAGTATCGAAAGTGACTGGATCATTTGAGCCTTTTCCTTCAGTTGCTGCCTCCCTCCCCCACAGTGTTTCTGCTCACGCTAACATAATTTGGCATCGTCGACGTGACACAATGGTGGTTTTTCTAAAAAATTATAATACATACATCGTCAATGCTTTGTGATGGCGTACCTCCTGAAGATTTAATTTACAAATGAAGAAAGGAGGCCTTTTTCCTCTACTGAATCATAGCCAAGATGGAGTGCGCCTCAAAATCCAAGCAACGCGCATACAGTAATAGGTCATTCAATGTCAAAAGGCATAAAAAAGATGAGCAAAATCTTCACAGGCTGCTGCTTGCTGTTGCCTTTAATTATATTAATTAAACTTTGAAATTTTCATGCAAAGAGAGTTGCTGACTTGTGACGCTGAAGAGCCCTTGGAGACTTGAAGGAAGAAAAAACCCTGAGCGGAAGCTTTGTGGTTACTGCTTCCCTTAAATTAAAGCAAAACAAAACCTAGGTATGTTTACAGATATTAATGCTTTATGCACAAGTACATCCTAAACATAGATAAGGGGGATCTACCAGTCACGGGGACACGTTCTCAAAGCGGGAGGCCCTCACAATCCAAGAGCCCTGGGTGAAGGCTGTCTTTCTGTGGAATAACGCTCTATTAATTTTCTTGTCCCGAGTGCATAATAAAAGAAAGGTGTCTTCAAAAACGAAAGGGCAAAATCTTGCTTGCTACCAATACCTTGAGGCATCCTGTCTACATTTTGTCATGCGTGTGCACTTTTCAGTGTGAGAATGACAAGATTTTCTAGTCAGAAACCTCCCATAAGGCACAATGTGATAGGGACTTGGAAGGATTTTGTGACCCGACATAGCTGGAAGGCTGCCGGACTTCTGTATTTGCTTAGCCTGGTGGGAATTTTCATACTCTGCCAATGGCTAAAGATCTTGCCACACAGAAACACAAGTGCCATGTTTCCATGTCAAAATCTCCTGGCTCCCATCATGCTAGTTATTTTGTGGTCCCTGTTTTGATATTATCTTCACATTTTTGCTGTTGCTGCTTTTTCCTCTCCTACACATTCAAACCAACTTTCTTGTAGTATAACCATAGCATGCAGATCAATGTGTTCCTCTTTATTTTCAGTGTCACGAATCATGAGTTATCATTGAGTTTCGTCACCTCCCATGTAGATGGCAGAACAAGTGTTTGCAAATGTTTGGTGCAAGCAAAGCAGAAGGCAGAGAAAACATCTCCTGACTGAGAGGACTTAAGCTGCTCTTCCAAAAGCTTCTGAAAGGCACTTGATTATTTCATTTGGTTGGAAATCAGCAATGTGAAAATGCACCATCTTCGTACCCTCTTGGTCTTCCTGCTTTCCTTTTACTGAGATGGAACTCGGGAGAAGTTTATGCACCGGCCCTGAGGAAAGAAACAAATCCTTCTTGAAATATTAAGGCCATTATTTAAAAAGCATAAAAACATCTACCTTATCCACCATAATATAATAAACAATTACCCAAGGAAAGGACAATGTTAAGATGAGACAGGAAGTCATAATTTATTTCCTTGGATTGAAGCATGATGGTTCTTTCAAATCTTTTCCACATCACCTATGCATCAGCATGGTAAAATTAGTATGGAAAAGACATTATGGAAATAGAAACAATTTTGTTACTGTTATCCAAAATAGAGCTTCGCTATCATAACCACAGAACTATCAAAGCCACAAACCTATATGCTTCTTTATGTAATGAATTAAAATGAAAGTATGCTCTTAATCTTCTGGTGTTCCTAAAATGAGACATATTAAGAGACTGAGGATAAGGAATCATGAGAACAGGAGGCTATGCCATCCCTTTTTATTATATTTTATGAAAGGTGTTTGCAAGCTCATGTCCATTGCTGTTGACCATTTCTCCCAATGGCACACCACAAACATGTATTTGTTTCCAATAATGACTACTCACACGTATTTGCAGTGCACCTTTCCATAAAGTATGTGCCATTCTAATTCCTTAACATTTATTTCAATGAAGGTTGTGTGGGCACATTTTTTCATATGTAATTGTAAGTAATCCAAGAATTATTTTAAAACAAAGTTTCCAATTAGTAATAAAGGATCTCCTCCTTTTCTCTCTTTGGTGTGATACTACTGATCCACTGCCTTATTGAAATCATCTCCAGATTATTTGATCAGCCAAAAGTTAGCATAGTGCTTTCTAGTTTAGAATTAGAATTATCACCCTTGATATTTTTCTATTTCTTATAACAGCTGCTCTCAAATTGTTTTATATTTTAGATTTTCTCATTATTCTCCTCTAAATGTGAATAAGTTTGTTTTACTATCCAAAGCATGATAAAATTCACAAGAAACAAAAAGTAAGAAGAAAGTTTGGAACATAAAAGTAGGATTTTTTGCCTCTCAAAAATGACTGCTCAATAAATTTGGAAATTTCAGAAATTAATGAAGAAGCAGAAATGCATAAAAGCAGAATAGAGCTTGGAGTTTTCATTAACCTATGCTAAAAGGTACACATTTAACAAGTTACCTGTCTTCCATATAATTTTGAAGGCAACATTATTACTACAGTTGCCAATTTTATTACGTTGTGTCTAACGTCTACAAATAAAATTAGTACAAAAGGAAGTATTATTTAGAACTTTTAAACAAGATGTTTAGAATAAACATTAAGTGAAGAGATACTCTTCTCTAGAGTAGCTAAGGGAGCTAAGCAAGCACCCAAAACACAAGGAAAAATAAAAATGTTATTTTCACAGCACATCATGTTTCCAAATGTTTAGATACTTTTTTTCCAAAGAAGACAGGAAGGGAAATGTCATCATACACAAATAATTGAGCAAAAATTTTAAAAAGCAGTTCTTCTAAACCACAATAGTGCATACATACAATGAGAGATAGATTTGAACTATGCATATTAAACAGTGATGAGCATCAAACAAATATATGAGGAATTATATTATGATAGCAAAGACATACATCAACTACATCTTTTTCTTTTGTATTTATGGAACAAAAAGTAAAACTATCTTCCCTTCTGTATAATTTTTAAAAGATAGAGAATCCATATTTTCACTCGAGTTTCATCACTTGTTAGCTGGATATAGATAAAAAGGTCCTTTTCTGACCACTTTTGTTCCACAGAACAGATTAATGTCAGTATGTAATAATTAGTTATTGATAATTTATTTTAAGCAACTGGATAGTTTAACAAGTAAGATTCAGTCTACCTGAATTCTCAAAACCACTTGAACACCTAAATTATTTCAGACTTAAATTAGAAAATTGAATGAATAAAACCCTATTGATTTTGACTTTGAGGTCCTTACTACAACTCTTCCAAAGCTTGGGATTAAGTATCAGTCATCATCTACTAAATGTCAATTGATTGAAATACCCCTCGCCCCCCAAAAATCTGTTAAATGCAATATTTATCCCTATGTTTTAACACACATCAATTAACAAAAACAACTAAATGTTCTTCCCTTTTGATCATAGACTCAGTGGTTTTTACTTTTATCAATAATTGTTCATGTTTGCAGATAACTTTATTTTATGGAAGTCTCAAGTTGGCAGCTGAGGGAGGTCTGCTCAAGAGGTACCGTTAAAAAAAAGTTACTGTCAAGCATGTCCCAATTCTCCCAGTCATGGGCTCCTTCTCCCAAGGATCGCCTTGTACCTCCACCATAGTCACACCACAAAGCACCATAACTGTTCATTGAACATCTAAAAGGAAAGCTAACCATGATAAATCTGAGGGCCATTAAAGCCCGAGTATGAATCCCAGCCCTGCTGCTTATTAACTGTGGACCATGGGCAACTTGACTACTACGCACCTTAGTTTCTGTATCAGTAAAATGATGATTTTAAATGATGATTTTAAAATGATGACCTATTCTTGGGGACTGTTGCAAAAATTAAATCTGTTAATATAGACAAAGCTTTGAAAACAGTGTCTGGCATATAGTCAACTCTCAATAAAACATAGATATTGTTATTGGCCACATGCCCTCTACAACATCATTGTACCATGTCTAATGCAGAGCAGACTCGCTGAATATTTGCTTAGAAACAAATACATGGATGATAAGAATGAACACACAGTCACTTAGATCAGCACTGGAGTGGAGTCAGACCTCAAAGATGAGAAGAAAGAAGAAGCATGAACTTGAATTAATTACAAAGGGGAATTACAAAGGAGAAAGATACAACAATGGAAAAGGAGAGAAAAAAATAAGGAGAAAATAGATGAGAGTGACTCCAAAGAGGAAAAAGCAGGAAAGGAATGATCAAGAAAAAAAGAAAATCTTGCCAGAAGGAGAAATTTTTATTCAGTATTCCATCAGATATCTTCTTCCAGAAAATTTCTTCATATTGGCTGCTACCATCCAATCACCAGAATATTCTAAAATCAAGGCAACATTTCCTAGCTGTGGTTATTAGATAGCTGTAGCCCATCAAATATACCCAATGCTATCTTATAAAACACATTAGTAATAATGCAAGCTACATCATTCAAGGTCATGAATGTTTGAGCTGCCATTTATTTCACAGCAAGAAGTCTAGGCCAGAACACTCCAGAACAATACTTATTCACAGGAAATGGGATATAAGAAGGTTCACCAGTCTGTCATATCCACATGGTTATATTGTCTATGTGATAAAGGTGTGTTATTGAGGTAACACGCACAGCCTATAAAACAGCCTTAACATATAACTCATCAAAGGATAGCAAAGAATGGGAAGTAGTATTAGTTAATAATGTTAATTTTTTGAAAATATTTCATTGCTATGACAAATAATGCAGTTGCTAGAAATAAGAAAAGCTAACTAAATGCCTTAATAAGAAACTATTCAATGTGTCCTAAAATAAAGAGAGACATATGTTTACAATGTTAATACTTTATTCTCTCTTTATATAGAAGTTATTACTCGTATCAGGTGACAGGGCTATATGATCTCTAAAATAAACCACTCTAAAGTTGTCATATGCTAAAATAGAAGAACACAAGATTTCTGTTAGCAAGAATTAAAATGAAGGTATAATATTATGTCTATGTTATATTTTACAAAATAATTCAAGAAATTTGAACTCATAAGTATTTAGGGAACATTATAATATGCAATTTATTATAAATTACAATTATTAATATAAAGAAAAACATTAATTTTCTCTATTTTCTGAATTCTTAATTCAATACTTTTTCTAAGTAATTTTGACTTAAAATTATGTTCTATTCATGCATTGAAATCATGGGTAAAATCTAAATACACTGCTGTTGTCGCTTTAAGTACTACCCAAGCTACTTACTCAATTAGGCAAACAATACAACCAATTTGAACTTTAGCAGTGATCATTTTAGAATCCTTTCTCTATGGGTCAATTGGCAAAACTACCTTCAAGAGAGAAGTTCTAAGTGGACTGCTAGCCATTTTGCCCTCTAGGTCGGTGGTTTTTCATACTGTCGCCCATCAGGTCCCATGGGTTCTGCAAGGTGCCTCAGAGGCTTGGTGGCTGGGGTGGGGCTTGAGCATGCAGGTGTGACTCAGACTTCAAAACCCGATGACACCCAAGTGTTCCTCTCTCAACTATCTTTTGAAGTTGCAATTCGGTATACAATTTTGTCTGTGTTAAAAATGTAGTTTGGCAACTTATGATTCCAGATATTTCCATGCCTGTGTTATGTCAGATCCCAAATAAAATAGCTATACCTGTAGACTTGGTTTATTTATTCCTCTTTAGAAATGCCTGTGTAGACCTATGCTAACAATGCAGCATGATCTCTTTAAATTTATGTCATATAAAAAGAATTCTGCATTTTTGAAAAGCACCATTGATGATATATATGAAGGGACCAGTTCTCCTTGGAGTTCAGAGCTAGAAAACAACTTGTCACTTCCGGCAAGCTATATGTTTCCCTGTTATTATCTAACAGCAACCATGTAACTTAACCTGTTTCTCTATACACCTTGGCTTTTAGGAAGCTCAGATTTACAGGATGATCCAAAATCAGCTGCTATCCTTAGTGTACATGTCCTATTCTAACTGCACCTTGCCTTTGGCCCATAGTTATTTCTCTGTTTTTATTCTTTGGAGGTTTTATTCTATTTTTTCTATCAATAGTTCTTTAGAAGCATGATAGGTATGAGCAATGTAAATAAATACATATTTCCCTCTTAATTCTTACTTGTCTCAATCATGAAAACTATCCAAATTCAGATAAATCTTAATTTCTAAAACCTCCCAACCAATTATTGCCTAAAATGTTACCTTATGCAAAAGTCCATCTCATACCTACTGTCCTTCTATGCCGCTTTTTCATTTTTCTGGTAGAGATTAATGAAGACCTTGGGAAATAGCTAATATCAGATGATGACTAATTTGAAACTTAATCTGAAC